CCTGATGTGATCAAATGTGAGAAATAGGCTTGAGTCACTCACTGTATGGAAGAATCATAATGCAGTATCCTCAACTGTGTTTTCAGCTTCTGGGGAATGTTGTGTAGCACTTCTTACCTACCACAAAGGAGTGAAAACGGCTCCCACCCTCCTAGAAGCTAAAAATTCATTACGGAATGAGTCTTAACATGTGCTTTATTAACATGGGTTTGCATTTAACTCTTGCCACTTACTGGATGTGTGCCTTTGAGAAGTTGCTCAAGCCTCAGATCTCTCATCCACAAAATGGATTCCCATTCACTTTTAAAGTTCTTGTGAGAATCAAGTGAGATAATGTGATGAAGGGCTTAACATCACATCTAAGACATACTAATAGTTGTTTCATGAATGTGGAGTGACTAAAATGCCCAATTAGTGAATGAATAGATCATTATCACATATCACATATCACAATATATCATTATCACAGGTTTCTATGTTGTGTGCACTTGGCCACATTCAATTCTGTCCGCTTCCGACAACCTGTCACGTTTCTGGAGATTCCTTCCATTCAGAGAAGAATCTTTTTACAGACTTCATTTCTTTCCCCAACTAGAACTCTCTCAGGCGGCTGGTACATAAAATGCCAGTCAGGGAAGTATTTGGTCCCCATCAGGCCTTGCCTGCCATCCTGCTTTCCATGACAACATGAACCCAGTCTTCTCTGAATTTTTGCTAACCCCACACCTCATTCTAATGTTCCGAAAACAGCTCTCAGTGATGTCACGGCCCTGAAGCCAAGGGAACGCACATATCAGATGACTTTCCTTCTGTCTTACAGATGAGCCAATGGAGGGAACGTTTTAGGCAGATGGGTCTGTTATTGGAGGAAGGGGTTTCAAAAGGCCGCTGAGGCCCATCTCCCTCTGGCTTTTCCTTCTGCTGGGTTTCTGCCAAAGCAAGGGGGTGTGAGCTGAACATATGAGAGAAACCCTCCATGACGGTGACTTGTTCAGAGGCAACCATACCACCACTGAGCCTGTGGTCCTTCATAGGACAGCTGTTGGAAGCCATGTGGAAGCTAATAGAACTCTTGGTCATCTTATAGGGCTAAGTGGACAAGGCGGGTTTCACATTTTCAAAATTGTGGTGAGATTCGTCATCCTTTCTGAGTTAAGAATCTATTCAGTTCCTCTGGAGCATCCTTAACCTTGTTATTCCTTTCCCAATGCATCTTCTGGGCAAGACACGTCCCTCCTCAAGGACAGCAGAAAGGAGTGATGCTGATTCACCAAATTGCCAAAATGTGTTTCCTGAATGTTGAATTATGGGCAGACATTTATCTCTGTTTACCCTTCTGAAAGTCCTTGGCAACAAAGACAGGATGTACCTCCAAAACACAGCACGCTCAAAACTGAAAGAACACTATTCTAACAACAACCTTGTATCTTTGGGACTTAGCAGGCTCTGTGTTACTCATCATGGAACGGCTGAAGTCTTTTTCTAAATTTTATTAGTTACCATTTTGGTAAGAGTGAAATTGTTGAAATTCTGAGTGTTTGAGACATGTTTGTATATACAGGCAGCAGATGAAAGTAACAAGATGAATTTAAGAGCACTTTGGTTTTAAAGTACAACACACTTTAGTCTGCCTTTCTCTGTCTTGAGCTGGGCTGTGGCAGGGGGACGGGGCAGAGCTGGAATTACAGTGTTGAGTTCAAGTCCCATCCTGCCTCTGACTTCCTCTGGGATCTTGGTTAAGGTGCTTCACCTCCATGGAACTGAGGTTCTTCACCTGTAAAATGGGACAGTAACTACCCCCCTGGGTTCATTTGATAACACTTACAGAGTAACTAGCACAGGTTTAAAAGTGATAGGTTAAAAAAAATCTAGCCAACACTTATTAAGCATCTACTATATACTCTGGGCTGACGTGCTATGCACTGGCCCGCTCTGGGGTCACCATTCACATTATAATCATTGGAGCTTTATGAATTATTTGGACAGTTTTTTTTTTAACCTGGCAGAAAATAATTGTTTTGAGGAAGGTATACCTTTTAACAATTTACACAAAGGCACCATGTAAGCTAGCAAAGGCTGGGCCCATGGGGCAGGACACAAATTACTAGGTAATGGGAAAAGACAACATAGAAATGCAAAAATCTCACTGGTTGATTGTTGTGTTGAGTCTTGAAAGAGCAGGAATCTGCAAGGTCAAGGAGGAAGGAAAAAGCATTCCTCACAGAATGAAAAGCTACTGAAACTCAGCAGTAGTGGTGATTTTAAAACATGTCCATAAATTCTTGGATATTCCTTCCTTTAAAGGATGAGGTCTAACTCTCCTCTCCATGAGTGTGGGCTGTATTTAGTGACATGCTTTTAATGATCTGAACATGGCAGAGGTGTGTGACTTCAGTTATTGGATCATAAAAGGCACTGTGTCTTCCTCATTGCTTTCTCTCTTGGGTTACTCCCTTTAGAGGAAGCCAGACGCCATGTTGTAAGGACTCTTACCACCATCACGTGAGTCATCTTGGAATCTTAGATTCTCCAGCCCCAGTCAAGCCTTCAGAGGATGCAGCCCCAACTGACGCTGTGTGGAGCTAATGAGATACCCTGTGCCAGAACCATCTGACTAAACGACTCCAGGATTCCTGATCCACAGAAAGGGAGGTAATAAATATTTATTGTTTTAATGCTGAGCTTTGGGGAAATTTGTTTTGCAGTAATAGATCACCAACACAGTGGCAAAAAGCTCCCAATGAAAATTTCCTCTGCTTGGAGCCTAGGGACACAGAAAATGGGGTCTAAAAGGTAAATGCCCAATATTCTCTGGTAAGAAGTTAGGATTTATGCTTTCAGCAACATATTCAAGCTGGAGGATGTTTTTACATAGAGGAGTGACATGATCAGCATTATGGTATCTTTGGCATGAAATAGGATGGGAAAGAAGATTGGTTGGGGCCTGAGGGGTCTCCAGTTAGGAGGTTACAGGAACAATAGTTCAGGTATGAAGATGAAAGCCTGAATTAAGACAATGGCAGAGGGGGTGGATATTGGGAGGACTGTCTTAAAATTTGGTGGTTTTCAGAAACAACCAGTATTTAGGGCCATCCTGTGAAATCATGCTTCACTCCACATTGTGTCAGGGGACAAGTATGCTGAACTACATGACAAGTCTGTATTCCTACCAACATGATCATTATCATCACACACACACGTGCAATGCACACGAGATACTTTTCATGCACTAACAGAATCAGCACTTTGTAAAAACGACTTCACAATTACGAAATGTCTCACTCGTAGGATTTAATATTAAGCCTTTGAAACGGTCCTTTATAGAAACTCTAATTTCAAGAACAAAAAAGAAAATAATGAGCTCCCCCTTCCATAAAGGGAACCAAAAGGCTCACATTTATCCATTGTACAAATAAGGCCATGGAGAATTAGACTGAATTACGGTGGGACACAGATTAAACATGGTTTTGAAATGCTGGAAGCTTCAGCAGAATCCATGACTAAAACAGCATTGACAGTGATATTAAATTAGCTAAGAAGTGCTCGCCTCCCAAAAAAAACTGGTGTCCTTAGAAAAATAGCATCTATTTTTGGTATTTCAATAGCCCTAAAAAGAGATGGATATATAAATGCTAAGCCATGAATACTTCAAATGGCCACATTTCTACCCTAATGGTGAGGGAAGAATATATATATGTGTGTGTGTGTGCATGTGTGTGTGTGTGTGTGTATACTTATTTTGAATTAAATGAAAGAAACCTATTTTCATTCTATAATCTTGCATGCACTGTGTCATCACCACTGAAAGCTACATTTCCAAATGTTTTTTCTGGGAAGTAGAGTTCTAGTGGAACTGATAATTAATCAGAGAACCAGAAAGAATTCCCAAACCAGCAGAGAGAGTGTCAAGGAACCACATTTGATTTCCAGAAGGAAAAAGTTACAAACAGTTAATAGTTGGGAATCTTTATCATTTCTGCTTCTGAAAATTGCTTTTTAAACAATGTTTTCTTTTATATTTACACAGTATATGGAACTTTTGAAGCAATGTTAATCTTCAAATGACTTGATTCAATAGATACTTGAATACTCAGCGTCCTAATAAGAGGAGATAAGATCTGTCCACTAAGAGGAATGCTGTTTCTCTTAAAGGTGAGCATCTATGTTCCTTGAGGCAGAGACTGTGTGTCGTTGACCACAGCAGTCCTGTGCCTACTGTCAGGCCCAAAAAGGGGGCCACTCACCAAATGACCTGTTGAAAGAGGAGTGAACGAACGAGTGGACAAATGTATGAACACGTGTAATGCTAATGATGTTGGGCTTGTACAAATAACATTCAAAGGCAGGTCTCCGCTGTAAGAACTCATAAATATTTACAACTGAAGGTCTTGCAGAAGATGTGAAAAATTTTGATGTTTAAGAAAAGGTAAAAATACCGCAAGTGTGAACTAAGTAAAGACAAGGCAGCGTATTTTAGGAACCTTGACGAAACTATTTTAGCAAAAGCACACTGCTATCACTGTTCCGAATAACTGTGATATGGTGAAAGTAATTTAATGAAAACATGTTCCTTTGAGGCTACCAAAAATCTGCTTCTGGCTCACAGTCCAAAGTTAAACTTTTCGTGGCAGGTGCAAAGAAAAGGACAAAGAGAAACCACCACCATTAGTGCCTGCACCAGAGCTATTTATTAGCGTAACGTTTTCTTCTTTCTTAAAGATTTCATAACAACTGAAGTATGTACAAAGTCTTACAGCATTTACCCCATAAAAAGTTCCCCATTCGCTGATAAAGTCTAAGGTAGTGTGGCTGAGAACTTCAGAGCATAAGTACGGAGCAATGAAGCAGACCACTACACGTTTTTACCTCTCAGCTACCACACACCACCGTCAGCTGGTCCACAGCTAACGACCCACCTGCAAGACAGGTCGCTGGGGAAAACGGGAACGAGTTGATATGGAGCACTAGAGACCAAAAGGTGGAAAAGCATCATGTTTCTACAGTTTCCTAGAGCTGTAACAAAGGTCCACAGCCTGAGAGAATAACATACGCAAGACAACACGATCGCACTGCTCAGATATGGTTCGGCTACGAAAGGTATTCGCTTTTGAATGGGAGGCTCTATATCGATATGGCTGGTGTTTCCATTTGTGTTCATGTCTTCGGATAGCTCGCCCCTGCACAAGCCCCACTCCCCTCTCCCAAATAAATCAACAACACAGGGAGGGAAGGAGAGAGGGAAGAGTCAGCATAGAATTAGTTCTTGATAAAAAAACAACTTTTTTTTTATAAAGACATTTAGTATCAGCTTTAGGATGGCCATTCCCGTCAAAAGATTAATAGGAGAATTTTCGGAATCAACCCAAATCAAAGAACAACATCAACAAAACCCCTAACCCCCAAATTCCTAGATTTAATCACCTTCATTGTTTCTGATTGTCTTTCCTTGGGGTATTACACAGAAGCACCAACATTTACACACTTAATCGGACACAAAACATAGCACTATTGCCCCAACCCTTACTTTAGTAGTGGCAGGAGAATTCTAATATGCAAATGATTAACATCAGGCTCACCGCTTTCTTCCTCAGAAAACCCAGCATGGTTCTCTATCTTAGGTCAGTCACTGTATCTGTTTGGTAGCAGATCCCATTGATTTTTTTCCCCATTGTTTCGGGCTCACACGTAGGCAAATTGGCTTTTTATTTCAAAAAGATTCTACTCTCAACTTAAAAGCCAGTTGATAAAACTTTTAATTAAGACACAAGAGCGCGGGATATAAAAACACAAGAACCACATAAATATTGAAGAAGTTGTATACCGTTTTTCGTGTAAACAGTTTTGCTTAAGATCGAAGCCCTAATCGGATTCTGGCCTGAAACTCTTGGCAGATGATGTTGTGTTCAGCCAGGCTCTGCAGCGATGGTTCACGTGGAAGCCAGGTCAGTCCCCATGTTGACAGGCATGCAACTTGGAAACATTGCACAACAAGCAACACAAAGAGAGTGGAGAAGCTCACAACCTTCACGACTGCGGATGCACAGACAGAGACCCACCCCTCCCTCCTTTGCACGCACTTTGTCTTACACGTGGGAGACCTTCTGTGACTCTCTAGCTTGTTTGATACTATATAACCACTTGATGATCCTAGCATTTCTTTCGATGGCAGAAATGCCATATGGCACCCGGTCATTGGCACTGTCATCATTTCTAAGGTCACTGTTACTGTCCTGAGACTGTTCGCAATCTGAGCTGATCATGCTTGCGCTGCGGAAGTTAAGGGAGATGATGTCGGAATTAGCCCTTGCAAAGTTTTCCATTCCAAGGTTTTCCAGCTCTTCGGGGTCCAGTCCGCAGTAGTTAAAAAACCTCTCCACGTCTGCATCCACGCGGAAATACCTGTCACTCAAGTCTGACTTAGACCGCTGGAGCGAGGGTCGCCGGCTGACTCCGCAGGCTGGTTCCACCGGGTCGGCTTCAGGGGACTTCACGGTGGCCATGGCCGCGACCTTGGGTTTGGGAGGCAGGGGAGGGGCGGAGCTACTGCAGGGGATCGCTTTTAGGGGCTTCACACTGGTCACTTTGCGGATGTCCGAGGAGCTGTGGGAGACGTGGAGGAAGGACTCGGCCGACTGCTCCAGCAGCCTCCTGCCCACGTGGGAGCCGCCTTCCTGCGGGCTGCCGCGGCCCTGCGTGGGGTACACCTTCAGGGACTCGGCGAAGGAGTGCCGGTGCAGGTCAGTGGAGTCTGGCCGGTGGGACGGCCAGTTCCGGGAGCTGTGCTTGTGCCCCGAGCCCGAACTGGAGCCTTCGGAGCTGTTGATGATGTTTTTCAGGATCTCGAGCTTCAGGTTCTCCCTCTGCACGCCACTCTCGGTCTTGGCGTGGCTGCCGAACACCCGGAGCGTGGGGCTGCCCAGGGCGCGCTTGGCGGCCGGGCACACGGGGGGCTTAGCTAGCACGGCCGGCTTCACGGGCTCCTGCTTGGCGTTGATGACCTCCTGACTCTTGACATACTTGGCCTTGTCCGCTTCCAGCCTCTCCACGGCGCTGAGTCTTTTGGGGTTGGGCTCGGCCTGCCTGCGAAAGTAGTCGGGCCCTTTGTTGAGGATGCGCAGGGGCACCGCCGAGGTGAAGGTGCCCGCGGGGCTGACCGGCTTCACCATGCTACCTGTCTGTAGGGTCTCCGTGGGCATGGTGGGTGGTCTCTCCCCGGCAGCCGTGTTGGATTCTGGTCTGGGCGCCTCCAGATGCGCTGAATAGACACATGTACATGAAGCACAAAGGGCAGCGGACGGAGCCTGGAACCTGGGTGTCAGCAGCAGCAGCGGCGCCTCATCTCACAGCTCATTAACTCGCACCGGGCCTCTAATTCACCTTCCCCCTTTCCAAAAGGCCACAAGCCACAAGTTCCTTTAATCTGCTTAGCTGCCTCCTTTCTTCTCCCCGAAGGATGTGGGAGTCTCCTCCAGGTCTTTGTGCTCAACTGCAGGCAGAGCTGAAACACACAACAACCAACCGCGGGTTAGGATGGGCGAGTGACATCACGGCTGTAGCAACAGAGAAAGCCCGCGGCGCCCCCGCCTCCGCCGGGCCGCCCGCCGCCCTCCGGCCCCGGGCCGCTGCTGGGCGGCGATTCCCGGGGTCCCGGAGCGCGCCCGCAGTCGGACGCGGGTGCTCGGGGGACGGAGAGGGGCTGAGCTTTCCCACGCGTGGGCTCTTGCAGCCGCCTCCCCATTGGTGAGATCCGCCCCTTGATCACGCCCGGTTGGCATTCCTTGTATCAAACCCAGGAAATCCTGGCTGAATGTGGAAATGCGGGTTTGGCAGAGCCGCGTTCCCAGTTCACTGAAGGCCCCTGGGTCCCTACGAATCCGGTATCTGCTTTAGGCTACCGCAGCGGTGAATTAGAATATGTCTCTTTCTCAGTGAAGCAAAACTTCTGATTTCTTACTACCCAATGTCTCTCGGTAACATCTGAAACGAGCACTTCTTTAACTCTTCAAAAACTGACAATGTTGGCAAGAAAGCACACTGGCAGCAAAGATGAAAAAATTTTTTTAAAAGCGTGTTTCAGTTATCTTAACTTTTGCCAGCCAATATATTTGAAAACACTTTCTCCTGAAAACTGAGTCTATGTATGAAGTTCCTCCTGTTAACTACAAGCTTGTTTTTTTTAATTCAACAAGAAAACTAGAAAAACCTAGATTAACCTTGTAACTAGATAATTTGAGTATAAATGTGCCATGATTTTTCACACTTAATGAGCAGAAATCGAAAGTTTCTCTGTGGTATGTATTTCCCCAAATCCCCTAGGGAACTAAGAATACAATCTCAAGAGGTCAACCGTATCTAAATATGTTACTTTAGAGAAAATTGGTATAATAGTTAATTATTCATGGATTTATTATTCATGGCTTTCTGAACAATTTGACCACCCCCTCCCTCAACCAAAACCACTATAAGGAAACTTTATCAATACTCCCAATATAAATCCACAGGCCATCTTTCTACTTAGTACACAATATATGTAGCATTTTTCTAAGGACAACTCCTCTCTCTGCCTGTTACAGCTGGCAGAGAATATTTTTGAAGACATCAGGATCCCAAAGTAACTGGTTACAGACTTTTTTAGCATCTTTGGTTATACTTAGGAATATTAAGGGTAATGTATTCAACTAACATCAAATAACTAATTTATAAAATAGAGTGGTATTACTATAAAATCATCTGCTCTCATAGTAAGAAAATGAAGTGTCTATTAAGAACAAGCTTGGAGGTGGGGGAAGGGAAGCCTGATCGTTCTCCTTTATCATCTTTTAAAAACTTAATCTCAGGGGCGCCTCGGTGGCTCAGTCATTAAGCATCTGCCTTCGGCTCAGGTCTCTGGGTCCTCGGATAGAGCCCGGCATCCATTGGGCTCCCTGCTCTGCAGGAAGCCTGCTTCTCCCTCTCCCACTCCCCCTGCTTGTGTTCCCTCTCTCGCTATGTCTGTCAAATAAATAAATAAAATCTTAAAAAAAACCCCAAAAACCTAATCTCAAATACACCCATCACCATGTTTTGTTAAAAGACAATTTTGGTAATCTGCAAAAGGATTTGTTCTAATAAAAATATTTTCCGATGCGAGATCTGAGAAGCCCCAAGGCAATTCCTACATAATGACTTCCTTTAATTGTGCAGTTCTATTATGATACTTCAATTTAGTTGAAAAAGCCACCTCCTTCCCCCCTCTCATGAAGATTAAGTGAGACTGTTTCTTTGAATAAATTTTGAATCAAATGCCGGAGGGGAGTAGCAAGTTCTCTGTGGAGCCTTCTGCATTTCTTCATCCACCACCCTGGGTCCACCTGACTGGGAAGGTGAACTGGGGGCCCTTCACTAAGAAGCTCAGAGCCAGAACAGGTAGCAGAGCCTGGGCTCAGAGGCAACCCCACTGGTTCTTTCCAGAGTGCTTGAGAGAGAGCTGCCCCACCACTGCCAGGCCACGTTTCTCCCCAGCGTGTGTAACATCTCCAGCTCCAGCTTCACATCTGGGGCTTCCAAATGTGTCCACAGATGGGACAGTGACAGTACATTTGGGGGCAGAGTGAAGGACAGGCCTGAGATTTGCGCCCATCAGCTTTGTGCTTAAGGACCAAAGCAAACCTCCCGCAAGGCAAGCGGGAAGGTGGCCCAGTGGGTGGTAGGTGACAGGGCTCACACCCCTTTCTCCTGGGGCCTCCTCTCCTCACCTGCGATATGAAGTGCTTGGATGAGATTCCCAAGATCCTTTCTCCCTCTAAATCATGTGGTTCTGAGGAGCTAAAAATGAACTATTTCCAATTTCAAAACGGCATCTGGGACTATTGCCTGTGACCGCACTATGGTTCCTGCATTTACTGTTCTTAGGGAAAATATCCTCTGAATGATGAGTTGTCCTGATCATCTAATGTGAACTGGCTTTAAAGCCCATGGTGGCCTGCATGACTATCTTCCCTTCTAATTCCATCATACAAGGACCAGAGAAGCCCAGATATCTACACTGCCACCGACCCGACTTTGCAGCATGCCCTGTCTGTGACTGCGGGCTCTGGGGCCGTTGCAGCACTAAGTAAGAATCGTTACTCTCAACTCACAAGACTGAGGGACACCGGTCTATTTACCAGGGCGCATGCCTCAGGAAGCTCACTGGCCTGCTTTCACACTGTTTGATTTCTTCCTCGAAAAAAAGGCGTGAAAATGGGTAAATGGAGGCAGATGACCTCAGAAGGGCTCCCGCAGGCACACCCATTTGCTCCAAGCCATCTATCCTTGGGGAGCAGTTTCTAGAACAAAACCAGTGTGAAAGGATTATGTGAGAAAGGCAGCGATTGTAACTACTTTGCACTTCATTTCCTTTTGTTCTGCCCCTCCCCTCTCCCCTCTGTCATTCCCAATCGCCCTAATAATGTTCAACACACTCATACTTACACATGACCGCGTTTGGAGTTTAAAAGTTTTAATTTGAACTCTTTGGAGAGGACAAGAAAAAGCATCTTCCTGGAAGAATCGAAAGCAGAAGACAATGCTGTAGGAACAGGTCGGGTGCTAGAGGACCTGTTTTAGCCAACAAACTATACCTACTTCAAACAAAACGAAGGTGCCTTAGGCTGCTCCTTCTTCTAGTACTTCTATAATCCCTAACTTCTGTCCTTTTACTTTTCAATGCTTCAACAATATGGGCTGGGACAGAGATGTATATTCCCAGAGTTCTGTAGTGTAGACTTTGTTACAATGTGGACCAAGTACAGTTGAAAAGACAAATCACATGGTAGGTGACACACCTGGAAACCTGGGGCTACGTCTCGACGTCATTAATGTGACAACCATGAACGGTGCTCAGGGGGCACCGCGGCACGTGACCCCCTTCCCGCTGACACAGCCCTGTCACCTACCCCTGACACCTGGGCAGATGCCTCAGGTGTGGCCAGGAGAGGCTGCTATTTCCTCATCTTGCTCCAGGAAAGGAAAATTAGCTCTCAGCTGCACAGGATTACACAAACCACAGTCATTATACAGTCCTGCTTGATCCCTGACTTATGGCTAAGAAGAGGGAACATATAAGCCAGAGGGAGAGAGAAAGGTCCACTCGCAAACTATTGGGCTACATTCGACCCCGTTGAATAACCATTTGAACATTTTGTGAAAGTCTAAAATGAACTGGAGAATAAAGCTTGGCAGAGTTGAGGTATAAAACGGTCCGCTGAACCAGGGCACACGTGAATTCCACCGCGATCTGGCCTGCTGCCTCCTTCCCGATGGAGAATCGGGGCTAGAGGGGTCATGCTATCTGTGTGGGAGCCCTGCTCTGGCCGGGGAGGGCTGAAGCAGCATACCAGCCAGGGACAGAGGGCCCAGAAACAAATGATGCCTCCCACTCACTTTGGCAGTGTTTCTCCAACTTGAATGTGCCCTCGACTCCCTGGGGATGTCCTTGATAAACGCAGGGTTCTGAAGTAGGTTTGGGGTGGGGCCCGAGCTTCTGCGTTTCTCGCAGATCCCAGGTGATGCCCAGGAGGCTGGTCCAGCCTTTGAGTGGCCAGGGGCAAGGGAAGGAAGGCCGAGGCTGTACTAGTGAGCATCGGGTTAGAGCTGAAACACCTCTGGCACAGAGGAAAACCAACCAGGCTTTCTTGTCTCGTAAATGAATAAAAGTCCGGGGCTTTGGGGGCACAGAAATAGCAACCAGAGAATTCAAAACTTATAAAACCAAAGTGGCCTGAACCTACCTTCAAATCTGCCAGCTACTCACAGGGGATGCTAGGTAAAGACTAGAACCGTGACACTGGGGAGACCCAGCGCGCTAGGACTAACAAAGAGCATTTGCAACCCTGAAGGCAGTTAGGGAGAGAAAATGAGCCTCGAAACATATGCTTGACACGAAAAATGCTTAAAGGCAAAGTTCCTAGAATCCAGGTACCACGTGCCTCAACCTCTGAGGTCGGGCTGATCATGGGCGACTGTGGCCTGTGTGAGGGGGCCTCCAGCTAAGGGCTGCTATGGGGACTGCCATTCACTGTGGAAGCAGCAAGTCCAGATCTCTGCAGAAACTCTCCCGATTATAAATTCAATTTGTGAAACACTGTGGGGCCAAGTGCTTCTGGTAAGTAAAAAGAAGGAGACAGTTAATGCCTAATTGGGCTTTAAATTTTAAGTAGGAAGAAAGCACTGCAGTTAGAGCAAGGACCCTGGGATTGAACACAGTCCTAGACCCAACCATCGAAGTTTCTTCAGTATGTGAAGACTGGCCATTTCCCACATACCTTACGGCCCAGAAAAGGTGGTAATATTGCTGTCAAGAGGGGGTCCTAATTCAATTTCCAATCACTGAACATCTCAGCGTCATGACCTTATCTATGAAAACTGAATGTGTTGAATTCGGTGAGCTTGAAAACGTCTTCAGTTCAAACACTCTTGGAGGCAAATAGCAAAAGAAGCAGTTTACCTTTGAGGTTAACAAGGGTTCTTGAAGAACACATCT